AAGACGGAATCGTACTGTCTTTGGGAGGTTGTTCTTCACTTTGTAGATCACTTTGAAGGAGGCGTTCGTTGAGATGGAATGACCAGTGTTGACGAGATGTTCGATTATTGCACTCCTTATATGGCCATTATTTCCTTTCTGTAGCCACGCTGGGTAGTGTTCTTTGACCCTTTTTGACAGGATGCGCGTTGAACGACCGGTGTACCTGGCTCCACAGCAACAGGTGAACTGATATATACACATAGAAGTGGTCATGTGCGGAATCTTGTCCTTTGGGTTTCTGCAGATCAGCGGGCGACTGGAGAACACTATTCTTAGTGTTGCCGCAGGGAAAGTTCTTCCTAAAGAGGTGGAAATTCTCCTTCTGAGGACGTCACTAAGTAGGTCTCCTTTGAAGTCTAGGTTCATATAAAGTATCTTTTTTGGCACGGATGGTGTCTCTTGCTTTTGGTTTTTCTGTTTGATGTTTTTGTCTACAAATCTTGGTGGGTAGCCATTTCGTATGAAGATTTCCCTCAGGAAGTTTAGTTCTTCTTCCATGGTGTCGGAGCTGCAGATGCGTCTGACGCGAGTGGCAAGGGATTTAATTAGGTTTCTTTTCCGACTGATTGGTACCCAGCTGTAGAAACTTGTTAATTGTCCGTTCCAAGTCGGTTTCCTATGGATTGACCTTCTTAAAGTTCCGTCATCTCTCCTTGTAAGCTCAACGTCAAGAAAAGGGATTTTAGATTCATTTTCAGTTTCCAAAGTGAACTTTGTGGCTGGATGGCATTTGTTGAATATTTGCAGTAGTTGATTGAGATCGTGACCGTCATCACAGATGATAAAGATGTCGTCAACATATCTAACGTACAACTGGAAGTTGTCGATGGTTGATTTGATTGGGCCGTTCTCGAGGCTTGCCATGAAGCAGTCTGCTAGTAATGGGCCCAGTGGAGATCCCATTGCGATCCCATCTTGTTGTCTGTAAATAATGTCGTTGAATGTGAATTGCACATTGAGTGTACATCTCAGTAGTAGTTCTTTTAAACAGGTCGTCGGTAATCCGATGTTCAGCTGATTTTCGTCGATATAGTGACAAATATAAGAGACAGTTTCTGTGAGTGGAACGTTGGTAAATAGTGATTCAATGTCGAGGGAAAGCATAGTTTTGTTCTTTGTATTGATATCTTTAATGTAATCAACGAATTGGAAAGTGTCACGAAGTGAATAGTGGCATATTCGTTTTCGTACAGGTTCTAAAATGTCAGTGAGCCATTTCGCTATTGAATGGTACGGGGAACCTGACATATCCAGAATTGGACGAAGTGGGAGGTTGGCTTTATGTATCTTTGGTAAGCCATATAGTCTTGGTATTATCGACCCTGTCGGTCGGATCTGATCATACACTTCATGAGTGATTAACTTTTGGGTTTGCATTCTTTTCAGGACATCGGTGAGTTGCTTTTCAATCTGTTCTGTTTTGTTTCTTTCGTTGGGTGGTTGCGAAAATTTTGTTTTATCTGACAAGATTTTGTTCATTTTCTCAATATAGTCTTTCTTGTTCATAAGGACTATGCCAGCTCCTTTGTCTGGACGAGTTATAAGGAGTTCTTCATTTTGTTTTAGTTGATTTAATTCTTCTCTATGTTGCTTTGTCAGGTGGTTGTATACTTTTGGCTTTGTATTAAGATGCTGATAGCAGCTATCGATTATTGTTGATTTGAAACGCTGCAATTCTTGTTCGGAGGTTGGGGTTAAATCATTTGTTTGGGTCATTAGGTTTTCGAATTGTACTTGCGTATGGAGTCTGTTGGCGCTTAAGTTGACGTCGCAAAATTTTGGGCCCATGGATAGGGCTTCTAACTGTAGGTTGGATAAAGCTACTGAAGAGTAGTTGAATACGAATTTCGAAGGGTCTTCAGGAAATTCTTTGTGTCCTTGTGTGTCCCTCGACAGTCAAGGAACTCAATGGGTTTCTACGGTACACTGTCAAACTTGCGATAGTGAAAGCAAAAATTTCTTTTTTCAATGATTGCATAACCAATCGCGAATATCCAAAGTGATTTTGGAAAGCATTGAGAAGAAGCCACATATATCCCAACACAAAATCCCTTCGAGGACAAACGTTTAATCTTATTGACTCTATTAAAGCCCGTATTCCTGAACTACAACGTAACATTTCAAAAGGGTCTCCAGCCCTCCACGATCTTCTACCTAGTGAAACCCAGAGGTTTACGGAAAATGTCAATAAAGTCACTAAAAAACGAGCAAAATCTACTAATTCCCGACTCACCAAAAGCCTCAAATCCATCAAAGCACACAAAGAATTTCCTGAAGACCCTTCGAAATTCGTATTCAACTACTCTTCAGTAGCTTTATCCAACCTACAGTTAGAAGCCCTATCCATGGGCCCAAAATTTTGCGACGTCAACTTAAGCGCCAACAGACTCCATACGCAAGTACAATTCGAAAACCTAATGACCCAAACAAATGATTTAACCCCAACCTCCGAACAAGAATTGCAGCGTTTCAAATCAACAATAATCGATAGCTGCTATCAGCATCTTAATACAAAGCCAAAAGTATACAACCACCTGACAAAGCAACATAGAGAAGAATTAAATCAACTAAAACAAAATGAAGAACTCCTTATAACTCGTCCAGACAAAGGAGCTGGCATAGTCCTAATGAACAAGAAAGACTATATTGAGAAAATGAACAAAATCTTGTCAGATAAAACAAAATTTTCGCAACCACCCAACGAAAGAAACAAAACAGAACAGATTGAAAAGCAACTCACCGATGTCCTGAAAAGAATGCAAACCCAAAAGTTAATCACTCATGAAGTGTATGATCAGATCCGACCGACAGGGTCGATAATACCAAGACTATATGGCTTACCAAAGATACATAAAGCCAACCTCCCACTTCGTCCAATTCTGGATATGTCAGGTTCCCCGTACCATTCAATAGCGAAATGGCTCACTGACATTTTAGAACCTGTACGAAAACGAATATGCCACTATTCACTTCGTGACACTTTCCAATTCGTTGATTACATTAAAGATATCAATACAAAGAACAGAACTATGCTTTCCGTCGACATTGAATCACTATTTACCAACGTTCCACTCACAGAAACTGTCTCTTATATTTGTCACTATATCGACGAAAATCAGCTGAACATCGGATTACCGACGACCTGTTTAAAAGAACTACTACTGAGATGTACACTCAATGTGCAATTCACATTCAACGACATTATTTACAGACAACAAGATGGGATCGCAATGGGATCTCCACTGGGCCCATTACTAGCAGACTGCTCCATGGCAAGCCTCGAGAACAGGCCAATCAAATCAACCATCGACAACTTCCAGTTGTACGTTAGATATGTTGACGACATCTTTATCATCTGTGATGACGGTCACGATCTCAATCAACTACTGCAAATATTCAACAAATGCCATCCAGCCACAAAGTTCACTTTGGAAACTGAAAATGAATCTAAAATCCCTTTTCTTGACGTTGAGCTTACAAGGAGAGATGACGGAACTTTAAGAAGGTCAATCCATAGGAAACCGACTTGGAACGGACAATTAACAAGTTTCTACAGCTTGGTACCAATCAGTCGGAAAAGAAACCTAATTAAATCCCTTGCCACTCGCGTCAGACGCATCTGCAGCTCCGACACCATGGAAGAAGAACTAAACTTCCTGAGGGAAATCTTCATACGAAATGGCTACCCACCAAGATTTGTAGACAAAAACATCAAACAGAAAAACCAAAAGCAAGAGACACCATCCGTGCCAAAAAAGATACTTTATATGAACCTAGACTTCAAAGGAGACCTACTTAGTGACGTCCTCAGAAGGAGAATTTGCACCTCTTTAGGAAGAACTTTCCCTGCGGCAACACTAAGAATAGTGTTCTCCAGTCGCCCGCTGATCTGCAGAAACCCAAAGGACAAGATTCCGCACATGACCACTTCTATGTGTATATATCAGTTCACCTGTTGCTGTGGAGCCAGGTACACCGGTCGTTCAACGCGCATCCTGTCAAAAAGGGTCAAAGAACACTACCCAGCGTGGCTACAGAAAGGAAATAATGGTCATATAAGGAGTGCAATAATCGAACATCTCGTCAACACTGGTCATTCCATCTCAACGAACGCCTCCTTCAAAGTGATCTACAAAGTGAAGAACAACCTCCCAAAGACAGTACGATTCCGTCTTCTTTGCATCGCAGAAGCCCTAGCCATCCAGTTGGTGGAACCAGAACTATGCATACAAAAGAAAATCATCCAACCACTTCTACTCGCATGGTAACAACTCCGTTGATTTGACCCAACTCTTCTTTGTTTGTTTGATTTGACCTTACCTCTGTTTGTATGCTTATTCTTCTAACTTAAAACCCTTGTGTAATTCTGTATATTATTTTGTTTCTATGTACACCCTTTGAGTACACCTCATTCATCAAACTATTCATGCCATTGCGTAACTCTTATTTAACAATCGATTTTGACAACTCATCACTTTTGTTGCTATCCTCTTATCAACATCCAATTCATTTGAACTTACTAACCGTATTTTCGTTTGACAAATTTAATGTACACACACACACACATATACAAAACAACCATATATATATTTGCGATTGTACAGCTTTGAGAATGAATTCGCCGAAAGGAGACTCTTTGCTGAACTACTTGTCTTTTTTCTACTAATGTCCGAATGATAATTATTCATGAATTATTTTTCCTTTGTCTCACACCTCTGTTTACTGACTATACTATGTATTTCTTCTACTTTCTTTTCTTGCTTTGTGTGCTACATGGAATGTGGCGACTTTTATTGCCGCACATATGTGCAAAGTTCTATGTCGAAAACTGACCGACATTTTAAATGTCAACACACATACAAGACACAACTACATGGGCAGTTTTACAAATTATTGTCAAAGTGCAAGGGAAGCATTCACTATATTGTAATACTGAGAACCACAATCAGCATGAAATTTTAGAAAATTAATTGATGTGGAAGCATATAAGTAAATAATGAGATTAATCTTACTTTGGGGAATCCTTCATTAGGTTTGAGTAAGTCCATGTTGTGAAGGACAGACCTTGAACGTGCTTCAGTAATCTATAAATAACAATAAAAATAATATGCATTTGGAAGGAACAACAGTAATAAAATAAATATACATAACTTAAAGGCAATAACCACATCACTTATATAGGAAACTGACTACATACATACACACAATTCAGAATAATTAGGATAAAATTTCATGAAGACTAAAACAGTGTTCTAATTTTTGGGCAAACAATCTGCAGACTAAGAATAAACCAGACCGATCTCTGAGTAGTCAGGTAACAAGTATTAAAAAGTCTCTATAAGACATTACATTACAAGATAAATGAATGTAGTGATATTATGTATTCCTGGCAGGTACTATCTGCTCTCTTTCTTAATACCCAATGTTAACCGCGGTTACTAAATATGCCTTTGATTATTTCATCTTATGAACATTTATGAAGTTTATCAAGATGGGAGATTAGGAGATTAAGATTTGTCACATTAATGATTGTAGATGAGACTGCATATATAATTTAATCATATGGCAATCTATGGTTTTGCAGGAACGAACACTTAGCTCAAATGTTAGATTTGAAACTACCGTTAGGAATAGAAACACAGCTTCACGTCTGTTATTAAGAACTCACTGACTCCCTGATTACCCATCAAATTACCTTTTGTTGATATAACATGTATATTATATATCCTACATTTAAATTATGAGTCACTTTTTGAACATAAATGACGATTTGTTAACTATCAGAAAAAGGGTTTTATATTATAAGCGCTGATGAACAATGGTTACCATACTGTTAATTGTTTCATCTTAATATCGAAAGGAGTTATACCTTAAACATATGTACTAAAGAAGAACATGTAGCGACTCATTGTAAACCTAAGAAGCAACGATTACTTGTATATTTGTTAATTAAGGATAGTTCTATCTAATTTAAGTTTGGTCAGATCAGGTTTATAATCAACTGAGCAATTTATCGACGTAGAAAAGCGGTAAACTGATACATGAAATTGCCACTATATGTGCAGGATTATTGGGCCTTCTGAAGCATCTGTGAAAACCTCTACTCCTTCTCTGTAATTAGGACAATTCTAAAAACCAAACAAATTGTTGTTGGATTTCATCATGAGTTGACATCGGTTAGAGAACCATTGGGAAACCTGGGAGTACTGAACAGCTGTTTGGTCCAAGTTCGGGACTCTTCATCAGTACGCACCCATCACCAGGGTTTGAACCCAGGCCTGATGACGTTGGCTAGTGGTCGCACTATGTTGTGAATTGGCAGAAGTTAGGATTCATGGGCATTTAGATGGGGTCCCAGTGGCTTAATGTTCTACCAGCTAGCTTTCTGACCGGAAGATCCTGAGTTTGACCTTAAGTGGGTGCGTCTGCTGAAGAGTCCTCAATCGAGATGAGACAGCCAACTAGTACTCCAAGGTTTTAAAATGGTTCTCTAGCCGATGTTAGCTTATCATGAAATCCTGTAACCAGTCATATCCCTGCAAACCAACACTTGAGTTTCTATATCGTGGTTTGATAACACTAAGCAGACCCACTTCTAAAGAACTTTGTCTAGTATTTATTCAAATATACTGACATCTTTTTAGTTCTCTAAAATAAGTGGATGGTGTACATGGCAAAAGTTGAATAAAAACAAAAGTTTGAATGAGATAACTTTGGTTTCGCTGGTTCAATGGCAGAGTGCTCGCCGACGGCGTACACAGTCTAGGTTTGATTCCCAATCAATGCACTCCTTAGTCTCATTTCGCCTGTAGTAGGCCCAATAAAGAGAGAAAGTTAGTTGTGAGACTTGGAACCCCGATTACGTGAAAATAATACTTGAAAGCTCCAGCTTAAAACCCTATGTTTCACTCGGAACGCAAAGGAATGAAAAGAAAAGCTAATTAGCCTTACTGATACGAATAAGTACCTTCATTTCTATGTATGTAGCTACTACTGAGAAGATATTGATTAATAGTAATTTAGGTGATGAACTCATGATTTAAAATTAAAACGTAGGCAATAGTAAATAGGCGAGGTCATTATTAAGAACAAAATTAAACAGATTAGAATCCATTGATTTTGAGAGCAGAGACGAAAAGTATTGGCACGTGATGAATTATATTAAGGGTGTCTTGATAGCCAACGAATTGACATTTTGGAAGAAATATAGAAGCATAACAATTATACATACTCATGTTAGTGAAAGAAAGATTGTATTTTTCTGTAGGATAAAAGAAATCATATAGAATTAAACTAATCACCTAGTGGATTAGATGTATGTTACCTAAGAGACAGTTGACTGCAGGCGAAACCTGATTTATCCCATTCAAAGTAATAATTTAAGTGAAATCGTCAGTTGATTAATTTAAGAGTAAAAATCGGGCAAAATATCAATTCATTTAAGTCTGTAAGCAATAGCAGCAATAATAGATAATACTATGTCATTGTAGAGGTGGTTACCTATTAACCAAATGTTGTCTATAAACAAACGGAAAACTGGATCATGATTCTGATGAGTATCTGTTAGGTGATTTTTATTTGTCTGCATGGATACAAATTCAGTCAAACATGAGAGTGCTGAAAAATAAGCCCCATTTATGAAACAGAAGAATAGCACAATGCTGATAAGACAATAAACAATATGATACAAGTAGATGTCAAGAAAACTGTCATCAAGTTACTAATCAACTGACTAGGTCTAGTCTTTCTTCAATCCATTCCGTTATTAGTCTGTCTGTTATCGACATAGAACTTTGCACCGATGTGCAGCACTTCAAGTCGCCACACTCCATCCTTTTAGCACACAAAGCAAAGGAAGAAAGTAGAAGAAATGCATAATAGAGACAGTAGACAGGGATATGATACAAAAGGAATAGTAATGACGAAGAACAAAACAGTTTCATTGGAAATCACAAGTCACAAGGAGTGGATGCATCTGCGCCATTGAGAACGATTTTGAGCCATATCGGCGACTGTTTCCAGCCATTTCCATTCCGTTATTAGTTAAGACTAGAAGACGCTAGAACAAGACATATATAGAATGTATCAAAGCGGTTTTTTTCATAACAGAAACTGACGAACGAATAAAAATGAAGAGAAACAAAATGAACTCTGAAGGATTAAATTTGACCTGGTATGTAGGTGTAAAATATTCCACTGTACAGGATGGATAGTTCACTCTATTTTAACAACTAGAGCATACTAGAACCAGAGCATACATAAAGTGACACTGTTTGATATAGATGACAATTTAAAAAAAAACTCTCTATGTGAATCAAAAGCGTATAAATATAAGTAACATGATGGAGAGAAAAAAAAAAGTTAATTTAAAAAGTATTTCATATTAGTTAAGTTGAGTGCATTGTTGGTGTAGTGAAAGTGTACAACACCTCATTGATTGATTTAAGTGTGAAATGTAAAATTAAGGTATGTTTTAGAAAGAAACGAGATAGACCGAAAAACTTCTCTATCTTGATAGAAACAGACGCCGCCCCTCAGTACATAGAAACACCTTTTGTAACTTCAGTATAACCAGTAGCATATTATGTATTTTTCTTTCTTTTCTCTCTTTTCTTTTCTTTATTCATAACATTAATTCTAAAAACTTTTTTAAATTTTTGTTGTATTATTTTATGTATACAATTAAGCACTTCATCTAGGTAGAATAGAAAAAATCACATGATATATATATATATAATATCGATTGTACAATATTTGTTTATGAAAACTTGCAATATAAGAGCGAATCATCTAGAAACAGTAAATAAACAATTCAAGTACCGAGTGTACAGCACGTACGTATGTATGTAGGTATGCTAATTAACAGTCCTGACGCGAGGTGGAGAGTAATGTCACGAGCGAAAAATTAACCATCTAGAACACGGTAACTAAAAGATAAACGACAAAGTAGCAACTTGAGAATGAAGCAACTTCGACAGAGAAATGTAAAACTTTAGCGGTTAAAATTTCCTTTTCTCTGACAGACTGTGCAGCGAGGTGTTTAACGTGTTCTTTCAAAAGGTGTACTTAGATACACCTACGACTTTGTAATCTTAGTCGTTTCACTATTTTCGGATATATAGAGAGAGTAATCCTGTAAAATTGAGGCTGGTTATATCCGGATTGACAGGTTGAAATAATTTCTCTATAAAAAAAATCAAAATTTCTAGTCCTAATTTAATTGTGCAAATAAAGTTTGGGATTCCAAGGAAAAATGGAAAAAATAGTTGTTATTCTACGGATTGGAAATACGAGAGTATAATTACTTAAAAAGCTTTAAAACTTCTCCAAAAGATATCTGAATGAATATAAGACTTTTCCCCATTCAATCACAGATCGAAAGTCTTAATCCAACAAGAAAAATGTATATTAAAGATAAACAGTGGACAGGTTGACAAAGGGAAAAACATCATGTTTTAGTGAAAGTGCCTGAGTGATTTACTCATAGATCAAAGTAGAGTTTGGCACAGATATCCATCAGCCCAGGTTACCACACTTTGCAGAAGAAACAGAAATGTGTGGAAGAAAGAAAAAATTAATGGAGATTAGTGAGCGTGTTTAGCACAAATTCAAGTCACGTCGCCAACGTTCACCCTATCCAGATATACCATTCGAATTTCTCCTCTCGATACCCTCGTATGTATCTCTGCAGATGACTAGGATCTACTCTTCTCCTTTTATCTTCTTTCTTCATAATATACACTGGACAGCATTGTTATATGACTATATATGGTTCTTCCCACTTCAGGAATAGCTCTGCTTATCCTTGTCCACCCCCGTAGTGCATTTCGGTTCCCTAGACTTCAACTGGTCTCCTGTTTCAAATGCTTTCCACTTACTTATTTTGTTCCCACCCACCCGTCTGTCCTGTAGCAAACATTGTTGTCATAAGCACGTTTCACACTGCAACAGGAGCATCAGAACACAACACATAGCTGCCACATAATGACATAAGTGTTCCAGATGGAAAGTTAGTTCTGTATGCATCTACCCCATCAGTGGCTAACAGCAATGTGACCTATTTGAATTGAGGCCTGAATGGAAGAGGAAAGACGGCAAGTAGTATTACGGTGACATCTGTTGTGGGAGTTGGTGATGCCCATAAGTGGGTTGTAATCTGCACGTAGCTGAAAAAGATGGTTTTAGCACTACAATATATATCAAGCATGCCTGCTTGAGATGGACGCTAAAGGATAGTAGAAAACACCCTTCGGTTTGCAATCCGTTAGTGTGCAGGCACAGACGACAGAAATACAGAGCTTTACTTGGCACCAACTTCTTACTTTCACGTAAAGCATCCTACCAATAGTTGAGCAATGTACCTTCAGCTTTAGCGCGTAGTACGAAGGTGAAACCATCTAAGACGGCCGCCGATACCCAAGGGTTCTCGTGAGGAGGCACAAGAAGTGTGGATTTTAAACTTCGATTCTCTCGAGACTTATATGCATATACAATTTTATTGTGAATGCCACTTTTATCGACTTACTTAAGAGTTAGGTCTCTGGAGTCAAATCTTTAAAAATGCCTATAATTCTGATAATGTGACCTGTAATCCTAACTGAACAATATATAACACGCAAATTTTTATCTCTAAGTAATGGTAGCTTATCTACATTCAGCGTTAGTGCAAATGATTTCAAGTACTCTTATCATCTAGGAAACCGTAGCTTGTGATTTAAACATTTAAATTTTCAAATGAAACCACAATGGACTTTATATAAACGAGCTACCGTTAGCCATGGTGTTATGAAAACGGATAGTGGATTCTGAAGATATTTATTTTGACTACTTCAGGCTGAAGTGAATACATTACAAAGAAACTGAAGAATAAAGAATAAATTTCCCTTCCAAAAAACTGGATAACTTCACAAAAAGGCGTTCTATAGATTAAATCTTCTTCATATACAATATAAATAAATAATCCCACCACGATTTTGAATTTGATGAAAATTTAGTGCTGTCATATTTCAGCATGGATATTTTTTGACGGTAATGATAAAAAAGTCAGCTGACTGATACTGGTGTGTTACACTTCAAGTACCCAAAATAGAATTCTCATGCACCAGGCGGAGCAACATTCGAAGCCAGGACCCACTGACTGAAAGTCAACTATTACTTAAGCCAGTAATTCACACAGCGCTCCACAAAGTCAGTCGATATGCAATAATTTATCATTCTGGCAAGACTTAAGTCAAATTATTTGTTATTTGTGCATCGGTGGCAAAGCGGTTAGGACTCTCGCCGACCATACGACATGGTCCGGGGTTCGATCCCCTGCCGACGCACACTCGATATCAATGGTCGGCCTGCGAAATTCGGGCTACCGATATCACATGCTGAAAATTCCATACTTGTACCAAAAGTACTGTGTGGTTTCAAGCTATAGTCAAAATATCAAAAAACAAAATATATCAAATAGATATATGTCACTCAGCCGATACTGTTGAAACAGTTTAGGATAAAGTGGAGCGGTTGTAGGTCTTCTTTTCTTAGTTTACTACAGTTTACCTAATATTTTGAAATCAGTAACACACTGCTACAAGCAGTGAAATAAGCACTAGAAAAATGACCAAGTCAAGGAAAGACAGGAGCTTCGAAATTTCGCATGAATGATTTGGTCTGAGTGACTGGTGCTTACGAAGAAAAGATAACTAGTAGTTAAAAACTATATGACAAAGCAGACATCAGATAGAAGTTAGTAATTTTATAGTCTTTTCGCCGTAACTTAATTTCTCTAGCTTTTTTTATTAACTTTATGGCATCATTCTTACCATAGTTTTTGATTACTACAGTTGTCCCACTGTTAAATCTTCCTTTATTTACTATGTGTACGTTACTATTTTCGACGGGACTAATATCACTACTGTACCTGGCTTTGCACAAAAGTGTGTGAATTCATTTTGTTATACTTCAGAGATAAAAGCATAAAAGTGTAAGACGTGATATCCGGCTATCGAGCAAAGGGCGGGTGTACTGCTCAGCAGTCCGCTTCGTCCTCCTTTATGGCTGTGAGACCTGGCCATTAAGAATGGGAGACATGAAAAGATTAGCTGTCTTTGATCATAGGTGCCTGAGTTCTATCTCCCGTGTGAAGTGGTATGATAAGGTGAGCAATATTGAGGTTAGGCGTCAAGTGCTAGGTAAGGAGGGGGAAATCAATCGACACGGCTGTGAAGCTATATCGACTGAGATGGTTAGGACATGTGTTACGTATGCCTAGTCATCGCCTTCCTCGACGAGCAATGTTAGCTGATATAGGGTCAGGCTGGAAAAGAGCTAGCGGCGGTCAAACGAAAACATGGCACCAGTCAATGAAATCCACAACAGTTAGCTTAAGCCACGTAGGAAGATGTAGACTTCCTGGTTGGGGTCCTCGGGATGTTAAAAGCAGATGACTGGAGACAATTGGTGACATGGCTCAAAATCGTTCTCAATGGCTGGCTCAGATGCATCCACTCCTTGTGACTTATGATTTCCAATGAAACTGTTTTGTTCTTCGTTATTACTATTCTTTTGTCTCACACCTCTGTTTACTGTCTCAAATATGCATTTCTCCTACTTTCTTCTCTTGCTTTGTGTGCTACATGGAGTGTGGCAACTTGAACTGCCGCACATATGTGCAAAGTTCTATGTCGAATACAGACAGACAGACAGACAGAAATTTACAGAAGATAGAATAATAAGGTGAATTTTCAGAATCTGGATGATAAGAAGGAATGAATACACCTGAACCATTGTAGATGATTTAACTCGTGTTAGCAATAGTCTTCAAAGAATGATTCTTAAGTCATGGCAACTCGAAGAGGGTGATTTTCACCTCTGTGCATAGTTTAAACCTAAATTTGTGTCACACATAGAAAAGAATGGAAAATATAATCACTTACGTCCATCTGTTCACGGAGTTCCTCGTTTATGCGTTGTAAATAGGATAATTCTGTTTCCTTTTCTTGAAGTAACTGATCATTGGTCATATTTAGAAATGTTAAAAACTCTTCATGGTCATAATATGCACCACTGGGAAGACTGTGTCCTTTACCTCTGCAAGTAAATAGAAGGAGTGATGATTTATGAGTAGGATTATGTAAAGCACTTAAATTATGAGCTCGTCGTATTCGTGACACTAATAACACTAATTACCTTAACGACTACACTACAGCAAATGTCAAACGAAACAATCTAGGCTATGATCAGAATAAAAGCGAAATTACCAATTACGTATCATACAAAGTTTTCAGAGCTTTACAACTTACAGAAAAACCGAATAATCGGACTTATTGAAAAGTGTGTAAGAAAAAGCCTAGGTATTTTCATTCTTTGATGAAAGCCTATGTTGTAGTAATGGATCAGAATAAAACCTAAATAAGCGGAGTTAAGGCAATAATTAACTTTTGAGGATATTATTATTATTATATTATTGTTTCCTTTAATTCCTAGAGGATCATAGGGCTTCAGCCGTGTGTCTCCATTGCGTTCGGTTCTCTGCTAGAGTCTTCACCTGGCTCCAAGTTTGCCCACACGCTTTCATCTCCTCTTCACATGAACTCCTCCAAGTCACCCTCACAATGACGACCAACTCGCCGCTTCCCTTTCGGGTTCCACTCGAGCAATGGCTTGTCTAGTGCTTTCACTTGAGGGTTTCCTCAGAGTATGGCCAATCCATCTCCATTTCTTCCTGCCTATTTGTTTCACAATCGGTTCCTGCCAGGTCGGTTCGCTCCCAGAGATCCCTGTTGCTGATCTTTTCTGGCCGGCCATCTGATGTTGAGTAGTATTGAGCGAAGACAACTGTTAATGAAGGTCTGTAGTTTGTTTGAGATGTCCAAGTTTCTTTTCTGTAGATGGACTTTTCGACCGTTCCATCGTCTCTTCTTTTTACATTTAGATCTAGGAAATTGAACTCATCGTTGTGTTCGTATTTCATGGTGAATTTAATGTTTGTGTGGACCTCATTTAGGCGGTCAAATAATACGGATGCCTGACTCATGTCGTTACAAACAACAAAAGTATCATCAACGTATCGACGGTATTATGTTGTTTCATTGATAGCGTCACTCAGTCGCGTCTGTTCGAGATAGCCCATGAAGATATCTGCTAGAATGGACCGGACAATACCTTCACTACAACAGCTTCTGTCCTATGAGCTATAAGCGGGGATTAGTAAGGACACTGTACGACAGGGCTAGGAAGTTATGTTCGCCCAACAAGATAGAAGAAGAATTAAGCTTCTTTGAAAAATGCCTTGAGGAGAACGGGTATCCAAAAGGATTTATCCTAAAGTACAGCAAAGAAAGAGATGAGAAAGAGAAGTATCCAACAGTTGAAAAGAAGAAAGTATTCATTTGCCTCCCATACAAAGGAGAAACAGTATCACAGAAGATTGAAAAAAGGATGAAAGGAGCAATCAAAAGATGCTTCCCTGCAGCCAATCTAGTGACACTATACAGTACTACATGCTCTATAAGCCAATCGAAACTGGATAAATACCCTGCTGATGTTACCTCCAACTGCATTTATAAATTTACGTGCACCTGCGGCAGCAAGTACATCGGAAGGACAGAAAGAAGGGCTTCTATCCGGTTTTCAGAGCATATTCCGAGAAACTTATGCTTAAAAGGAAGCAAATATTTACAAAGTGCAATCATCAGACACCTTGTGGATACAGGCCATTTTGTTGAGATTTCCAAATCCTTCAAAATATTGAACATACAAAGGACAGCGAATCTACTACGATTTGCTGAAGCAATTGCAATCAAACGTCTCAGACCAAACTTATGCACACAGAAAGAGAGTGTAGTCAATCTCTCACTCCCTTGGTAACCATATCACTTTCATTACAGTGATTACTCATAGACACTAGTGAGTTCAACTCACTAAGCAAGTTTTCAAATTGATGAACTTTGACCTTGTTGAGTTGCCATGTTGACACTGTTTATTAGATTTTTCTGTTTTCTGTCTTCTCTCACCCCCCTTTTTTCTTCCTTTTTTCCATAGTTTGGTAGTATATAAATTGATGGTAACTTAAACTACAAAAATTCTAATCCTTATATTCCGGATGCGTTTATCTTATAATGCTTTCTGTATTACCTTTCAAACAATGAAGTATGAAATGTTATTAATTATAACCATTGTAATTTCAGGTAGTTTGCAGCTGATGAGAACCTGTGAAATAGAATGATATCATTTTATACTGCAAATCTGGTCTTTCTTTCTCTATCGGAATGAATTGTTGATTTAGAAACAGAAAACAATAACCACTCGTCGTAGCAAAGCAAAAACTCATCGGGTGTTGTGTTATCTGACTCCACCAGTGCAATACTTCATCAGCTAATTAAAGTTAGACAGTTTAGATTCAACCGCCGACTTTACGTACTTTCCAGTTTAATTGTAATACTAGTTATTTTGTTTTGAATTTCTCAAGAATTTTTAATCTTTACTTATTTAGCGAAAGGATTGAACTATAATTATCAGATGTACACAGAAAAAAAGAATATTACGCGATGAAAAATCCTTTACTTCCCATCAAAAACGCATTGTTATAATTAGCGTGTTTAATCATAATTTTAGGGAAAAAAAGAAACATTACAGTTCTGTAATCACAATCACATTAATAGCAGTAACATGGATAATAGTGAATAATATCTATCCTATTATGAAGACATTTAATCAATTCTTCTAATTAATTAAACGTCAATATTCAGTGGTGATAATTTAAAGTTGAACTAACAGTTATTCTTTCAATTGGCAGTCTAAATAGTGAAAAGAAGGTGGGCGGGCAGAAGTAGAAATGGAAACAGTAAGAAACAGAAATATCACTTCAATAAGTGACTATTACAAAAATCACAAGAAAAGTTCACCGGTACGCCATGTTGATATGTAGCATAACATGGTATGATATGGAACATATTGAGCACATATTGAGTTCAACGTTTAAACAGCCACTAAATAATGAAGTTTGATTAAAATTTGAACAAACTGTTTCGCAGACACTAGACATTAAAAGTGAAAAGTAGACTTATTCGGAAATTGTTTGCATAAATCTCAGAAACAATGAAACGATGTAATTATTTATTGCAATATAACTGAGATTTATACAAATATAATTTTTGAGTGTATACAACTGTTTATAATAAACACTGATAGAAAAGGTTAAGCTAAATTGATTGGAAGTAAATTTATCTAAAGAACAACTGGGTAATATAATAAGCAAGAGTAATCAATGAGTGATGAATCAAGGCAAGACGAAAACTTCAGTCATCGTACAACAATTAATGTCAACGGCCTCTGGAAATAAACGCACAAGTTTTTGTTTCGCCTTCAACCCATTGATTTACAGAATATCCAGAGAAGTGACTCGAAATGATGGTACCATATTATTCTGCACAAACAAACCACTGTTGTTCTTGCTTTATTCAACCTGTATGTATTATCGAACTTTAACTGCTTTACGAGTACATGTAGCATTTCACTTATCATCATGTGGCGAGAGAACTGACACAATGGACCAGGATTGACTTTCACATTCAGTAAGAAAAACTAACCGCATATCTGGTGGTCACTGGTGTATATATACGCCTAATTGTAAATGGATGTCATCTGACGTTGTTTTTTGTCCTAGCTTTAGTACATACGTAGTAACCTTGTTACACAAGATACAACATGATAATTTTGTTTTTTATAGATATCACACAATATAAAAATATTAATTCTATTGTTCCACTTTTAACACTGATGATAATTTTTTCTTTCAGGACATATATAACTTCAGTGGAGTCAGTCAGTAGTTCTCATTTTACGGTTAGTCATCACTGAATAATGAATTATCACTTGAACGTCATTTCACGAATATTTAATCAATTAAAATGCATTTTGAAATACAAATTCTTGCAGATTATGAACTTTGTTATCTTGACTTATGATGTTTCTTACAAATGTTCATAGACGTGAAGCTTCGGTGAAGGTTTCCTGTTACTTTCATCCACCTAGTCGAAAGAAAAAGAGACCAGAAAATGACCAACTTTTTTCAAATAGTGCATACACTTACCCACTAGGAAAAATGTTTAGTTCACAGTGGCACGAACCAGTTTCTTCTTTACAACAAATGAAATTTAAAGCACATTGCAGTAAACTGCAAAGCAATGTTGTCGTGTCACTAATCACAGAATCCACGTAAGCAACATGTTGCCAGGTTATTAAAATGAATTCGAATAAAAGTATATAAATGCTAGCTCATTCATAGCCCTGTCTTTTGAATAACATAGCCGAATGACGGTTAATTTCAGTCCCAATGATACAAACAATCATGTTACTTGGCATAAACTAATACGATTAATACTACGATTCACAAAACTCTGTAGTTTTAAAGTGAGTGGAGAGTTAACTTTATTATTGTATCAAAAACATGGAAATAGGGAAGTATGAACAATGATTGTGACAGTCACTTTCCATCTGAATAGCATTATTAATGTTCTAAAAATTAATCTTTCTAAGGAACAACTGAAGGTAATAAAAAAAATCGATGGGGAACTTACTTTCCTTGACATACTGAATCACTGTCATTTTCCGAGGATGCTTCGGAGCTGCTTGTCTGATAGGCGTTCGTTGTAGGCATTGTGGTTGGACTCAAGTCATTTTCTAGTCTGACAGAAGCTGATGAACCTTTTATTGGAGACGAGGGAGAAACACTTTGTATAGATTTTGCAGGAGAATGAAAGACAATTGGTGTTTGGATACGCTGTGGTGAAGATAGCAATTCATTACCGAGTAAATCGGTAGCTTTTGAAGCACCAACCAAATTTACTAAAAATGATTTGATTTCACCCTCTAAAGGATCTTCAGTCAATTCAGGTTTAGGAGTATTAACTAGTGTTTCCTCTATAGACGACGATTTTCGCCAACGGCATGTAACTAAGCCGGCTCGAACAGCTCGAGAATAACACTGTTCAATCAGCTGATTATGATATTTACTTCTATTTCCTGCTTTGAAAGGTGCAGCTATAGAATAGTATAATGCACATATATCACCCATGCGACGACCAGGTACCTGTGGAAAAAAAAGCCATTAGTATTAGGTTATTAGTGTTTCTTAGTACCTTTCATCAGTATGTAAATAAAATACTTAGATAAGGCGTAACTTGTTCCTCGTTTTATTTAAAACAAAAAAGGGTTGGTTTCACTTTTACATATATCATTATTACTAGTAATAAATACGGCATTTAAAATTCGAGTTTCTCAGACTCAACTAGTTAATCAGTGTCAAATAAGAACAATGATAATGAATTGGCGAAGTGTGCCGTAAATACCGCGAAATCTACAAGTAGTTCATCAACTGGATGGAATATAGGCATTAAATATATTTATTTATTTATTTATTACAGAGTAAAATTTACATCACGATACTTGACAGAAACGGTGTTTACAAAATTAGACGCATCATCACCAAGTTAAAGTATACCTTTAGACTAGTAAGATAACTTTATTGTAATATACAGGAGTTTCCCCACATAGAATAATTCGCTCATTCATTGAGATACAATTTATCTATTGACTCAGTCAGCAAACATATTTTTAAAGGTGCAAAATAAAATGTGTTTGCATAAATTTACAGACTTATCGATACCATTAGGTTCATAAATAATATGACCAATTCAGTCCTGAATTTAGTAGTTTACGTCTGGAAGAGAGTAGCAGGTAAACAAAACAAAGAATAACAATACATAAACAAAAAATAAAGCACAAGATTCATTCACTCATAAATATATACAAAAATCTTTTGGAAATTTGTATTTTATTTTGATACTTTCAACGTATACCTTCAGATATTAACTGCACAAGTAAGGAAGAAAAAATGGATGATTAGTTGTAAACAAGCGATGCATAAACACGTGGGAACGAGCAGTAGATTTTTAATAACGGTGAAAATATACAATTACAAGCTATGAAATAACAGTGAATCAACTATGTTCAATAATTTTCCTTACGTAAGAAACATCATTGATTCTTTCCTTTGAAAAGTGCACAGGATTATCTATAATGTATGCTAAGATAGTGCAGCCTGTACTGTGAAGAGAACATACACTGATGACATAGCACTGGTATGACGGCCTAGTGAGATTACTGCGACCATGCGTGGATAAGAAATTCAAGCTGAGTTTATTTAGAGTTATAATGAAAATCTGACGCTACTGAATCACATATGTCAAACTAGACAGCACCAATGTTAAGCTATTCTATAAAACTATTCATGGACACTATAGATATGGTGGTAGGAATGGAATATACTGAATTATTAGTTTTATTTTATTTCCAAAATAAATCACTACAAAAACATTTCTCCAATTCTTTTAGTAAAGCTATATTGGTTACTTAAATCTGTAAAAGTAGGCTACCAAACAGACCAAGAATAAATTCATGCCAGTGTAGCTATTTCAAAGATGGGAATGTCAACTTGTTTGAGTAGTAGAGTGAAAGATGGCAAAAAGCTGTTTAAGATGTGACTTTGAAAATGACCCAAATTCGCATATTTTATTCCTTTCAAATAATAATAATAAAGTGTGAGCTTTTTCTTGTCATAATTTCCAATGAATCTCTTGTTAAATAAGCCCATTCGATAATTTAATCTTATTTATTTATGTAATCTATTTCTACATACATACAAATAGTAGAAATATTTAATCAAGCGACCACCTGAAACAGCTATTGGATAACCTATAACAAATAACAATTTCAATCGCCTGAACTCTTTAGCTGATCAGTATACCAATCGATGCATTCTAAAAACACATCAACCTACAATTAGTAAATTGAACAGTGATAATGTATCTAGGCGGTGATAAAAACAAGCTTTTCATATTGATTAATAGGTTTTGAAACATCAAATGAACTGCGGTCATCTAATTCGACGAACATTGTGGAAACATAGCTCACTGGTTTTAACAGTTGACTCTCAGCTAATAGGTTTGAATCCCGCTCTACTTCAACCTGGTCAACTGAGTAGTATCATCAGCCTTCACATTATGCATAGCCTAGTATATCAGAAATCTATTCCAGATAATTAAGTTCTCACTAACAACAAGCATCAGTTAAAATGCGCACTGATCTATGTTGAAGCATAAATTTGATAGCATAACAAAGCACATAGAAACGCTTGTAGCCAGTGTGGAAAAAGTATTTTGTCTCTAATATACAATGTATAGCAGGTGTGTGTATAAAGCAAACGATATTAACATTGGAAAGTGAATAATAGTCAGTTTTATCAGTTACAGAAATGTTCCTCAGCGTAGGACTATGGATTATAACAATAAATAAAGTCAAGAAAGCAGCAATGCTCACATTTCCCAAGTAGTATATCAATATAAAATTTACAGACTGAACTCAAACTTAATCGATCTCATTTTCGTGACGTTAAAACAGCAAAATTAACCAAAAGAAATCGGAGTAGATCAGTGACTAGAGGATTGCATAAATTATACAAAGGCCATAGAAAAACTCTACTCCTTTATCAAAATAATGGAAATTTTGAAAGCAAAATACGCTAGGTAAATCATTTTCAAACTAAAACTTTCACCTATATTACTTCAAGTATTATTTTCAAGAATAAGATATGCTTTTAAAACACTATTCCCACAAATGTAACGTATGAATACAAATGAATGTTGCGTTGTTGCAGACCATATCCTTATTCGATCACAACTTGATACATTACTTTAGCCAAATGAGAATGCATACATGGTTGATTTCTAATCGGATTAAATAAGGCATACCTCTTAAGTATTATCGAAGAGCCAATAGGCTGAAGAGCACATAAAATGTACAGCTTTTATACAACAGAGAAATAGAACGGTAATAAGCTTTCAACTTCATTACTCGTTGATTGCTTTATGGGGTACGTGGAAAACAATAGTCTCAAATCAACCACCAATCCGTTGAAAGTTTACAAACGACACATGGATAATTTCTTTGTCATTATCATTGAAAATACTGAGTTAAATAAAACTCTACAAATCTTTAATAATGCTAATTGATCAGTCGAATTTAAGAGTGAAGTTTAATCAGGTTGTAAATTTTCCTCCCAGATTGAACTCTACAAAAATCGACTTACCACCATCCAAACTTTTACAGTTTTAGAACAGGATTGTCTTGAACGGACAAGTGTTTTCAATTACTTTTTCAGGTTTTACAGTTGTAAATCCATGAATATTAGGATACACAAAGCCGGGAAATGCAAGTGAAAATTATTTCAGAAACTTTATTTGGGTACATGTATAAGATGGAATCATAGTTCGTTAATTAATGTTGTCAATTGCATGGGGATTTTTAATTTCACAGTATTGTTTCAGTAATCGGAAAAAGAAATCTCAAAAGAGCATCTCACAAAGAAACCAACAAAATAACCTTTGAAAAAGACAATTTTGGATTTCTATCGCAAATACTTTAGAATAGTTGTTGTCATTTCTGCACCTTAAAGTCAGCCACATAGATACAATAAATAGAAGTTTGAATTTAGACATAGAAATGCACTTTTTTTACCCCAAGCGTTTACAAGTGGCAACCTCGAATTTTTCATCTTGACATACACCCATATTTGATTGTTAAAAATAATGACTACTGATTTATTTTACTTCACAACCACAAAGGGTCAGAAAAAGTGCAATTAACAGGAATGCAAAACTTTAACAGGTAATTCTTTGTCACAGTCAGCTAAACGAAACTACTTATTTACTTCAGCTAATTTTACGCTTATTTCATTGACCTCAATACTGGACGTAGGTTTAACGTGCTTGAAACAACTAGATGAAGAGATCTGAGTTATACCTACCATGTATTTTCACTGAACAAAAACGAGTTTGAACAGAAAAATGAATGTTTGTGAACGGTTAATAATATAAATGACTTTTAAAATCCACTACTAATTTAGTTTTATAGTTAACGTAGAGGTTTCAATGTTTGCAATGAAACTAAAAATTGAACGGCCTACAAAATAATTAGGTTCCTTATGGAAGATACACAGGATATTTATATCCGCATAGGAATATAATTCAGTTCACATATAACACCCTGATTAATTGCCTTGTTATTATCGTTCGTTCATTAGCTCAACTAGTCAAGATGTCAATATTCCAGTCCTCATACACTTTATTTATCATTTCATGAAGAATTTGATGAAATCATGGAAAATAAAATGAAGCGGTTAGGTTCCTGAGAACCTAGTTAACATCAGTGTAACCGTACAAAGGTATGAATGCATATACAGAAATTGGTTGGTGTGATGCAGTTACAACAACAAGATCTAAAAAAACAAGTTACATCTGCTATGCCAAAAATGTCTTCCAAGAATAAGTAATTCACCGTATAACACCTTGGAGATTAGATGTGATAGTTACGAGTTTTAATTGGAATAATACGATCCACTAGGATGCCGGTAAGCTAAGTTCATGTGCACCAAACAGATAGTAATGTATTTGCTGGGCTTTAACATTTATTAACACTAAACGAATATGAAACAACTTTACTGCATTCTAATAAATACAAACGTGGGAGTAAGAGAAATGTACACCTTATTAAGTTAGATATAACAGTACATATTATTAAGCATTTAGGCAATACTGCTAGTCGAATTATGAAAAAAAATAAGTGGTCATCTACTGCTATAACAGATTGTTATGAAAAAGGTTATCGGTTATTCCTAGACCTGTTATATTCAACAGTACCTTACACAGAATATTATTGTATAACTGCTTGGTTTCAAATCCTTTTTCACAAATCACACTAAAACCCCACATAATTGATATTAACAGTTACCGATTCATTCGTCTAACACGTTTTAGTAACTAACAATTAAAAGCATTCATTGTGCAGAAAAAAGAACAATATAACAAACAAATTACAATATGACTCAGCTAATTTATTATTTTGACTTGTGATAATGACATATTTTAAATACCTAATCTAACTGTAAGAAGAAATGAACAACAGGTTTCCGTTCTGCCACGCATAACCAAAGTCCAAGGGAAGAACAAAAATGAACTTACTTCAACAGATTATTTGTACTGTTAAAGTTCCTAAAGAAAAAACTAAGATGTGCTCGTCCTCTACAAGTTGATGTTGGTTAACTGGTAGCATCTGTTACTTATGTGAAGTATTACACTGAGTTAAACTCAAGGCTAGCTAGTAACCCACCAAATAGTATACATGAAGATTGACTACCTGCTAGAAGGGATGCAAACGGCGAGTAAAGTCGTTGATGCCTTAAAAGAATGCTTTGCTAAAATCCACTTGCCTTCTGTGAGTTCCTTATGACTTCTGGACGCCTACCAGTCCATTCCGGCAGATAGCGAGTATAACAACATCTACAAGGTGCTTACGTGAAAGATCAGCTTCGGTGGTTTGGTAACGTGCTACAAGTGTTTTACCAGAGGCTTTGATACCTCTCGCTGTTCACCAGCTCTGGGAATGGATGGAAAAAGCAGAAGAGTGGTTAGCCTATAATATTGGTGCTGTTGAATGCAGGATATTTGTTAGACAGGCATGTATTGCTGCATCACTACTCCCCGAGTGCAGTCCGAGGGATAATTCGGATCGCTGATTTAATACATTGTCAGATATGGCCAAGAACAGTAATTACTGGCCAACATTATGTAATATCCTCCTTTCTAAAAGTAGCATGAACCATATTTTGAATACTCCATTATGGATAAGATTTTATTTTCATAAATCACACAGTGTTACACAGTAATATTAACTGATGACGTTTCGAGCACAAATTATTGCTCATAATCACTGTGTGATTTATGAAAATAAAATCTTATCCATAATGGAGTTACACCTTACCACAGTGCCCAAGTTCTATACTTATAACATATTTTGAATAAACTTGACAAGTATGCTTATCTGGTCTCTGGATGATGTTCCTCATTTATTCTCTTACTATTTAGCTTGTTTTGTTCTATTGTTTTTTGTGTGGTGCATTTCTTGGAGCCCATAATGTGCTCGGTTTGTGTTTTAATAATAACAATAACTAAAGATGAGCCGATTAGGGAGTAGTATCCTAAGGAGTGGTAAACCAAACAATGCATAGGAGGTGAGTAAAGAGAAAAATTCTAATTTTTCAAAGACTAATAAGCAAGGATCATTTAAAGGACTAACTTTCCCAGTACTTGAGTAAATACTTAGACTGGACACTAGGTAGTAGCTAACGTCATGCATCTAGTCCTTGGTATTGGTGCATACTGATTTTTATCAGTCAAGTTTGCGATGTGGCCATCATGCTAGGTGGCTCACCATTACAGTGCACTCTGAATTGTTGTTAAATGACTGGAGACAATAGGCAGGAAGCCTTAGACCTGGATTTCTTGCTTGTTGGCACTCGTCAGCAAGGCGTATCTGCAATCTCTAAGGGATTCATGTCTCTTTTGAGATTTGCACCTGGATCAACCGGTACTGTAGACAGAGACGTCACCACTGAGGTTTTCAGACTCGCAGTTGACATCCTGTAGGATTGTAAATACATGCACTAGGCGACAGGTCGAATCTTTTATACGTCAGAGGACTCAGTAGTTATTCAAAGCTTTGAAGGTTCGGGGTATAAGCCGTAGGTTTTTGAACTCCTATTACATGCACTGAAGATGTATCACTTTGTGACAAAATCAGACTGTTCGGCATTATCTTCATACCCAGTAGTTTTTAATCTCATTTCCAAGATCAATGACGAAAAACGTATAGCAAAAAAATAACTAGGTTTTAAATATGACAACTAAACATATTAAGTCGATTACTGCTAATTAATAAGTACACCTAGAAATTAGAAACAGAACTATAGAATTACTCATTTTGTTTTTACACCACTACTACCATAGAAATTTCAACATTTACCCAGAAATAGACAATTAACATAAATCAGAATGATTTATCCACAAAAACGTTTAATCATCATGATTTAAACTGTAATTTTAATTCCTGTATTTTCACTGTTTCTGTGCCTCTTTTGACTAGCTAGAGATTTTTCTATTATCTTCGGAAAAGTGATATTTCATACATTTAAATTTATCTTGAGCACTATCGTTACCAAACATGTGCCAAAGCTCAAGATACCCATTAGTATGCTGCGACTATGTAGCTACATTAGGAGAAAAGGTTTGACAGGCATGAAAGATAAAATATATTTTATATTGCTGGATCTGTAAATCTTAGATCACTAGCCTATATAGGTCACTTTGAAGAGGAAATAGTTCTAGCGCTTTCTTTGCCGCCATAATTTTGCAACTAATGTCTTTTCTGTTTCGACACTACAGATGTAGCTATTGTGGATAATAAATCGACGCAAAATTAAGTACTGATTAAAGTTAATACACTAGCAGATGGTCAAATATCTGCAAATACCTCTGAAACAAGATACTAATACAGTTTATAAGTACTATACAATCTTTATTTTTAAAAATTGGTTTGATGTAATATTTAGAAAATAATCTGACCAGAAGTTTGGTCTCTCTAAAATACTTCTATAGAATTAACTCCTAAGAGAAATAAGTCTGCGTATTGGTGAGAAGAACTACATGTGGACTAAAAAACATGAATGAATAACAGCGATTTGTAGCTAGCTATTTGAAATCCATTTTAGTTAATTTGTAAAATGTATAAAGTAATGAAATGTTTTCTGGACGAGGTGTTACATTTGAAATATTTGTGAGGAATAAGCTGTTTTCGCAACGCCGTCAAATGGCTACCATGATTCCATTATAGGACATAATAAGCGAAAGAACTAAGACAAAATAGCAGTGACATACTATCCAAATCCAACTAATATATTTAAGTAAATTTTAATATAAGAGAAAACTTTTTTCTCACTAGCCAATGCTATTTATTTCCTTAGAAACCTACTACTGACAGTAAATCATTTAGCCTTAAAGAATTTCAGAACATTAGGCCACAGTATTCTTGCTTCCGATGTCACAGAGATGAATATTCTGAAATATTTCCATTTGTAGGGACCAAATATATTCTCTGATTTATTGCTTGATAGTTTGTACAAATGACTGCTAAAAGTAAACTAGACAGGTATATCTCTTATGTCCACTTGCGAAAATCAATTGTAGTATTATATGCTGAGAATTTTTATTGTTTGTGAGGTCTATCAACGAAATTGAAGCATTATTTCTTTTGTCTGATTTATCATGATATTTACCATCTATCCTACTACGAGCAATATGTTCCGCTGTAATACTTATAAGTAGATAACCGTAAACTATCACTGTTAAAAGTTGAAATGGAATAAGACGAAGGATAAAATGCCATCACGTCACCTTCATGAAACAACGTGCTTTTAGAAACACAACACACCATAAACATCCAGAAAATGTCCAACTACTATGTACGAAAAACTAATTGTGACAGACGCATCAAACAACTGCAACGTAAATGCGCATTCCTCTTGACGTAAACTGTTGTATATTTTCGAGTAGGAAGAGCACATTTGAAAGTCTTAAACAGGAACTAAACAACGACCATTCTGAAAGACTGATTTCACTCAAAACCAGACATCTGATAACATCACACATATCATTAATATCCGCGGATGTATGGAGGACTACATAGACCTATCTGGTAGAAAGCCACGTAGTCAACTGTAGACAATATGAATAGAGAGGATAAGTTGCTACGAAAAGTTTAAATTGTGACCCAAATCAGTCTAAACTGATATAACTTATTATAAACTCAGCATACAAACAAAATTCATTTGTAATCAGCAACCCCATATTCCACTACAATGTTGCACTACCTTGTGCATTATGAAATACATAATAAATATCTGGGTCTGGAGACCAAATCTGTGATAAATATTTGTCATAATGATGTAAGATCATGACATATGGGTACGGAAATAAAATGAGTAATAACGAGAAAAGCAGCATAGGTCATTATTTCGCCTTGCACTAAATTGGACGAAATAAAACAAGCAAATAAAGATAAGAAGACGGTCAAAGTTACGAGTATGAATAGAAACAACTTTAAAAGTTGAAAAATTACCGTTCTCTTGGCTTTCACAAAATCCTTCCTCGGCTTCGAATCAATGCATCTCAAAAATTTCTTCACCTCATTTTTTGTCCATTTACTGTATGCCGGTGAATAGTTAGGTATGTCATCAATCGCTTTCTCAATGTCGTAATTATGCCAATGTAATAAAATCATAGCTAACTCTTGAGTATACCTACACATAGAAAATTAGATAAAGTGAAATTACTCGTATTGTTTGGCGAATTCGAGGTAAGAATTCAACTCCTCAGCATTAGGCTGTTGATTTGGCATCCATACACTGAATTCTTTGTGAGGGGGATTCTTCGAATCATAGCAATCAATTTCCTCAGTATATTCAGGAATTTGAGCCTGGAAACTACTACCAACTTTGGAGCATCCCTCTAAAAAACCGTGAAAATGTAGATTATTTTACTAAAGGATTATAAACAGAATATTTGCAACATAACAAAATACCACATATTTTATAGTCATGAATATATTTTTTAATTTTATATTCAACTTGCCTTCCTGACTTTTATCACCCTTAAACGATTTCGGAGACTTGAAAGTATTCGTCCGCTTAATCAGTCCCTTCATTAGTGTACTAAAATACACAGCAATATATAAACACGGAATCCGCGTCAAATTTGTGAGTCCTCAAAGTGACCTTGAATAAAGCATCAAACAAAGATTTGAAGCACTGGGAAGGCTTGAGTGATTTTTCAAGTCTCCACCCAATTTAAACCCTGAAAACAACACCAAATAATTTTTAATGGAGCTAAAGCTCGTTAACTAGAAGAAATTTTGTTTTCTTACTTGACACAGATAGCATAAGTACTTTCGGATTTCTATAATTTTGATCCCCCATACTGAGATTTTCATTTAGAGATGAAAGGTTTTCAGTCTTTACTAACTGCTTGCATACCTGTTTTACTGCTGTTCGGTTCTACTTTGGGAGTTGACTGTAACACTTGAGGATTCGTTGAAGATGAGGCACCCCACAGAGATATATATCGTCCCGGGATTTTATTATTATGATTATATTATTATTCCCTTGGTTTTTGAGTGGGACATAGGACTTCAACAACATATCTCCACCTATTCCTATCTGGTGCTGTCCTCTTCATCTGGGTCCATGGTTGAACATAATCTCTCATTCGTTTCTCGCATGATCACCTCCACGTCATTCTCCGACAACCCATTGGAATTCTAATCGTGCAATGGCCTGGCGAACGATTTCATTCGACAGCCTACTCAACGTGTGTCCAATCCATCTCCATTTTCTCATGCATACTTATTGAGCAGTAGGCCCATTGTTTAGTCTGTTGGCCGAGTTTCCTGTTGCTAATTCAGTATGGGGCCAGAGAAGGCAGTTATTGATGAAAGTCTGTTAAATTTCGGAAATCCATTTCGTGACATGCAGTGTCAGTTTCTGACCTGTATATAAGAACTGGCCTACTTCACATTTGTGTTGAAAATCCGAATCTTGTTCTTAACGCTGTGGAGTGTTGCACATTTCCAAACTGGTTTAAGGTTCGTGAAGGTGTATCTTGCCTCTCCGATTCTGGCTGGTTTTGACGTCTTCATCCGTTCCGCTTGTAGTTGAGACAATGGTTTCTAGGTAAGTAAAGGAGTCATATCTCTCGCATTGATGATGATAATGCCGGTTTTTGTTGACTGTCTTCAACACCTCCTTCTTCTATATGTTCACAAAGAATTCTGTCTTTCTCACCATCTTCTTCTGCTAGTTTGTTGGTTTTCGCCTGCATGCCTTCAAGTTTGCGTCACATTAGACATAAATCCAAATATTCTAGAGTCTTCTTATAGCGTATTGCCGTATTCTCACTCTCCACATCCTGACTCATAACTTAGTCCACCACAATCAAGGATATCATTGGTGATAATAGGCATCAGTTTGTCTTACTCCTTTATGCACTTCGAACGCTTCGCTGAGTTTTCCGTTTTGGATCACCTGATACGTATCACTGTCATATAAATGTTGAATTAGGTTGACAAAGACTCGCGCACTGCGTGCCGTAGTATTTAAGTTATTTCCAAATTGCTTCTCGGTCAACGCTGTCTGGTGAAGGCCTTTCCGAAGTCCCTGAAGTTGAGGTAGAGGTTTGACTGTCATTCTATGATTTTTTCGATAATGATGACGATGCGTTTGGTTGCAATTCGATCAGCACATGATTCCTAAATCCAGCTTGTTCCAGCAAGCTGGTTCTGTATCCAGTGCATCATTTATTTTGTCCAGGATGATGCCACTTAGTATTTTGCTTGGTGTGGACAAGGGCATTATTCCACGTCAGTTCTTGAAGAGTGACGCATTGGTAGCCCCTCTTTGGCATTTTGACAAAGTAGCAAGCCTTTCTTCTAGTTTGTAGGTTCCTTTTCTCCCTCCCCAAACCCTCTATAATAATGGTTTGGGCACATCTGCCCCAGTCTCTGGGTCCATTTTCAGTAATTCGGGGGCAGGGGAAATTTCGTCTGGTCCTGCTGCCTTCCCGGACTTCAGTAGCTTCATCGCATTTGTGATTTCTGTTTTCGTTGAAGGATTGGTGTCCACTGGCAGCCGGCTTTGTGCATGCTCTTGGTGATGGTGTGTTTCTGGGCAAATTGCAGGTGATGTTCGATTCAATAGTCCTTTAACTCATTGTTTTGTCTCTCTCTCGTATTTGTTAATTAAGTTCCCTTGGCCATCTTATTTGGGCATCGTCTGCCTTGTTCGCTTCCCGGATAGAGAGCTGGTTATCTGATATAATGTCCTGAGGTCTCCTTTGCCTGCGGTCTGACTGTTCTACTTTTGTTTCCAGTGCATCGTAGAACTGTCCTTTGCCTTTCCTAGCACTCTTCTTCACTTCTTTATTCAGTGCAGTGTACACTGAACTCAGCTTCACCTTCTGTTGCCCATCCTTGCACTGGTCCATCCTCTGTTTCACCATTCTTCTCTCTTCTACTAACTTCTAGGTATCCGTTGACAGCCGTCCTTTTCTTGCCTGCTTTTCTTCCTCAAACTGTGGCACATGCTTGCCTGAACATCGCCTTCAGCAATTTCCAAAGTTCTTCCAAGCAGGTTTCCTCGGTGATGCTACGTAATGTTCCCGTATTTATTCTGATGGTTGTAGTGAAGGTTTCTTTTTCTGTTCATGCTTCAGTTTCTCTGTTTGAACCTGAAATGTAGTCTATCTTCAGTTGCTAGCAAGGCTTTCAGCGTGATCTGGAAGTTTACTTGAACTAGATAGCGATTTGAGCCCACATTTGCTGCCCTTCGTAAAATAGTGTTCAGCAGACTGCGTCTACACCTCCATGAGTATCATTGAGATGAAGTCTATCTGGTTTTTAGTATGTTCTTCAGGCGGAATTTATGTTGCCTTTTGCAAATCCTTGCGTTTTTACACGCTACCCGCAATCATTAAATCGCTAAAGGCGTGTAAGTTTGCGAATTATGCTCCGTTGTCATTCATTTCGCCAGGTGAGAGCCTCTGGATATTTAATAATGATAGTAATATATTCTCAGTTTTTGTGCATAACGGACGCCACTTTACGAGCATCATCAATATGATAAATTATATACACGATTAGTAAGCATATTTAATAATAATCTTAATACAAAAAATATATATTTATTCCTACCTATGTAGGACACACTAGCTGTACGCGGATGGGTAGGTATTATTTAGATCATATAAATTTGGCTTACAGTGAAATTACATGGTTGCTATCTATTTTGTCTTTAGTTTGTGGCAAAAATCTGCTAACTAGTCACTAAGTGAGGCACTTCAAGTTGAATAGGAGTATTGTTTTCACATTACTAAAAAACCTATGTTTTGGAAGTATTACAAATTCTTAGGAAAAAAAAATAAAGTTTGAAGCCATTCCCCCATATAGCCTTGGTGTATACGGCATCGAATATTATTCTTGACTTACATCCATATTAGGTATTGATATAAAATAAGTGAAATACTTGTACAATCGTGTCAGCATTTTCATCGTAAGTAACACCAGAAGTGAATTTTACTGAATGCAGATTAATAATAATGGTTTATATATTCTTATAAATGGGTGTTTACAAGAAATGCAAGCCATTTTTACAGGCAAGATCAGTTATTTATATATTACAATCGTGAAGTATTGTAAATTAATATTTTTACATTGGTGTTAAGGTGTATTCCATAACTGTAATCCAGGATTCGTTGCGGAGGAAGGTAATGGGTAATACATTAGAAAGTTCTAGGATATCGGAACAGTAATGTCTACAGATCATTTGTCATCATAAGTGGTCAAATATCTCCATTCTTTATTCCCGTTCAAAATGTCATATAGAAGCTAAAGTGGTGAGAGAAAAAAGAAGACAAAGGACAGCAGCACAGAGGAAAGTAAGTGGGGTCCTTAAGGAGTGATATATAAATTTATGTATATGTATATTCTGTGTAGTAACTATGATCTTTTTGGTGTACTAACTATTCCTGCAATGCCAACTTTTATATTTGTATGTGTAAACTAATATTAATGTCCTGTGTAGATATGCTTATCATGTACTTCCAATAATATTACAGTTTATAAACATAGTTTGCAGTAACGTATACGTTTAATGAACTTAAAATATCTATGTAGGGCGAAAATGAGGGTGTAGGAGTCAGATGCAGGAGCGCATTGTCATCTTTGAGCAGTCTGGTGACTGAAGAGATGAACAATGGAAATGTGTTTGCACATTAGCTTGTAGTCTATTCCAAATGACTGAAAACTTATTTAAGAAGTTGTACCGCATGTAAGTATGACAGTGCTCTATAGCAACTAGGTTGTGATGATTTTTAAGACTGTAACTGATGACAGCAGTAGATTTAGTTATTGGCTTGAAGGAGTACAAGGGAAGATTAGTTAGCTTGTAGTAAAAAATAAGGTTTAGCTTCAGACGTCTATTTCGGAGTGGTTCTAATGTCAGTCTGTCGCAACGCCCAGAGTATTCGAGACTGCATTCTAGACCAAGACTTCTTAAGGTGAATTGCCGTTGCACTCCCTCTTATTTCAGCTTGTCATTCTCTCGCAGTCCACTAAGAATAAACGGGCAGTATTCTAAAATAGGCCGTACACATACTTTACATAATGAAACCTTAGTTCCACAATAAAAGAAATTGTGGGAAATGCATGCAAGGAGACTTTGTATTTTACGTCTAGCATAGTCACTTTGTCCAGAGAACGTTAAATTACTAGAGTATCTGATACCGAGATCTACGGCTGAGTTGAACATGGCTAGTTTTCGCCCCCTTGCCTCAAGATTTAGGTGAAGGTAGCTGTTGCCGGTGCAAATCCAGCCTCATTTGTCAATGTTAAACTTTAAACAGGATTCAGCACACCCTGTTGCGGGACTACTTAGTTCATGACGTATTTTACTTACCATATCGTTTAATTCATGACTGCAGCATGAGTAAACAACTTTGAGATCATCAGAACATAGGAATGGTTTGCCGGAGGTGAAGCAATTACAAGTGCTGTTAGTGTAGACTGTAAATAAAAGTGGTACTAGGACACTACGCTGCACAACCCCACTTCTGATTTGCCTAGAATGAGACAATCCTAACCCGACTTTTGAAATGAATATAACCAAATCAGTAATGGATGGCGAATTCCACATGAGTATCACTTCTCAACGAGAATACTGTGAGAT